CCCACCCTGACCCTGATTAGGAACAAGAAGGACAGAATGGATGGATTTTTTTAATAGCAAAAAAAAACACATTCAAACATAAAACATTTTTATTTAATCTCCATTAATAACATTTATAATTTTGTGTATTTTTTAAATGTAAAAAATAAAAAGATAAAACTATTTGACAGCTTGTAGGAATGAACATATTTGTAACATTTCTTTAAAATACACCTGTTTAAAAAAGTGTAGTCTATTACTTTAAGAAAATGGTGACTTGTTTTTCATGTTTAATCTTTTACCTGTACAACAATTAACTCATGCCCTTTGTGCTCATCATTCCTACTAACTATTGCAGATACAAAATACCAGTTATGTAATGTAAAGAACAAGTTCTGACTAGAGATCACGTTGGTTTGATGAGGCCAGACCATAAATTTTAAAAGCAGTAAAACATTAAAATTTCTACAAAGCAAACAGAAAACCAATAGATGAAAAGACAGAACTGAAGACGAGTCAAATAAATGTGATGAAGAACTCTCATTTTGAACATGCTTTTAGTAGAGAGATCAGAGCTGATTCCTGGAAAGAACTGGTTTGTAATTAAATAAACTGGTTTGTTCACGGCTCTCATCAAACCACTTTACATTGTTGTGATGAAAGGAAAGAGTATGTGTTCCAAGATGATTCATAATCATACCTGGAGCCCTGCCTTCATTATTTAACAGGTATGAGGGTGACCTGGATTCACCTGGTGGACTGGGCTGGGTCAGGGTCAGGGTCTGGTCCAGTACGGTGCCAAGGTTACCCCTTTGTTCTGGTTTCATCTTCTAGTCCAGAAGAGAATGTTTTTTTTTTTATCCAAAACCATCTTTTTTGTGTCATTTCTAAACATATTCTTGTAAACACAGAGCTGTTTTTCTGAATGTTTTCCACACGAAAACACAGAAATGTTGCAGTACATGAATCTAAAGCTAAATCTGAATAAAACATTATTTCAACATTAATGTGATCTTATTCTTCTCAGGTAAATATTAGTTTAAATGTCCAAACAGGGAGGAAGAAGAGCTTTAGTCCCATAATTTATATTAACTTTATGTTTAGAAGCAGATAGATGTAGTCAAGATAAAAATGAAGCCACGCCTTCATTTCTGAGTCAACAAGGAAGTTTGTAAAAGTTTTATTTGGTTTGTCTGATGAATGAAGTCAGTCAATCTGCTGACGAAGCCTTGAGCACAGGGTTTTGCACTCAGTTAAATATGCTGCATAAGGTCTTCAGGTTCTTGGTTTTTTATTTTTTTCTCTACACATTATGTTTATTGATCGCTTTATTCTACTGGAAACACAGTTTAAGGTTTTTCAAGCCTCCAGACGATGAGGAGCAAAAAGACAAATACTCTGATAAAGTTGCAGAAACCCTCTGGGTGACCACAGCTCCGGGGGTCGTATTAAATTCCACAGCATCAATTATGACAACTGAAGCCTTGGAGCCGTGTGCCGACACCCCTCCAGACCTGGTGGGTCCATTTCACGTGGAGTTTGAAACCAACCGGACACTGGACTGGGTCAGGCAGCAGATTGGTTCTGACCTGCAGCTGGGGGGTCGGTTCAAACCCCAAGATTGTGTCTCCAAACAGAAGGTAGGAGATAAAACTAGGAATAACATTTTATGATTGATTGATTGATTGATTGATTGATTTTCAAGGCTGCAAGCAACTGTAAATTTACAAACAAGAATGCCCCCGCGACCCGACTTTGGATAAAGCGGAAGATGATTGATGGATGGATGGATGGATGGATGGATGGAT